TGCGGGAAAGTCAAAGCCGGTGGTGCATATACTATGAAGTAAGGATCCATGTTGTACTCCCTTTACATTTCAAATTATTTTCTTTGGAATTTGGATGCCTGAGTAACTTACCTGTTGCTGCGTTTGTTACTTTAACAGCACTGCCAGTGCTGTGACTGTGAGGAGTACGATTAGGAGGCTGAGGGAGCAAACTGAGAGCTGAGCCACCGTCGATGATCGGAATATCTTCTTTGATAGGATGATGTTTTGCATGTTTTAGCTAACAGGCTTAATTGAGATCCCTTTTAGACGTATGTGTACTATGTGCTTAATTTTCATTGTTTTAATCGGTCTTGCGTTGGCACTTTATTTAAGTTCAACCGTTTTCTTCATTACACATTATCTTCTTTACTTGGCATCAAACTATGCCATTCTTGCATCCTTTTTTCTTGGTCATTTATTTGGTTCTCTTCACTGTGTTGTTAAAGCTGCGATGTTGGATGGCAAGTTTTAGAATATTTTCAGAACCCTAGATCCTTACACCAGTATTTGCTAATGTTTTTTTTATTAATTAATTAAATTAACTAATGTTGAATTAAGTTGCATGTTACTTTGGGTGATTAATTTTTCCACAGACGTTTGTTTTTTAATTTTAGTTTTGAATAAAAAAATCTTTATTTTGCTATAATTGCCACTAATTCTGGTGTTGTTCAATAGGGTTTATAGATGCATGAGATATTTGTTTCAATTCATTGGTGTGGTCTAATTTTCAAGGAAATTCATTGGTGTGCCACTAAATGCTTTGTATAAAATATATAAAAATTAGTTTAATCTTAATTTGAATCGAGGAAGATGATTAAAATTCAATTTCAAATAATATTTATTCCAAATTGATAATATATTTTTTTATCTCTGTCTCAATTAAATAACTTTAGTGATTAAAATTACTAATTGAAACTAATTTCTATGCTGAACCATGAAAAAAAAGATAACATTCTAATCAAACCTAATGTAGACACTTGCGTCTACAAAAACATTATATTGTATTATTTTTATTATTATTTTTATTAATTTATATATTATAATTATTTTTTTGCCGGCCCCCATTTCCAACAAACTATCCCTCAAAATACCTATTCTACTAAACCTCTAAAAATCCGGCTAGTGCAACTAAACTCAATCGAACATGGACCTCCCTGGAACGTGCGCACCCACTAGGGTTGCACATTTGTCGGATTTTAATATGATTCGGATCGGTTTTTATCTGATCCGATTTTTTCCCATAGAAAAAAACCGGTTTATAAAATAACCGGTTCGGTTTCTAACCGGTTTGGAGGGTCAGATATCCTAACCAGTGTAACCGGTTTCGATTTTAAAAAAACCGGTTTTTTTAAAAAACCGGTTATAAAAAAATCGATTTTAATATTATTAAAATTACATCGTCATCAATTGTAACAAAGTTTACGATAATTTGTTAAAAACATTTTGATATTTCGATATAACAAATTAAGTTAAATGAATTTTAAGATTTTCCAAATGATTTTCTAAGTATATTCGATATAATTATTCAAATATCAAAACATTACTCCAAATATTTCAAAAATCATTTTTAATCCTTACTTAAGTGTAAAATTAAGTTTTAATCTTAAAACAATTTCAAAATAATCTTTCAAAATATTTCGAACCATTTCAAAGCCAAAAATTCCAGATTGCTCATAGGGAACCGATTCTCCCCCAAGGGGGTACCGATTCCTCATTGAATGGTTTGGCTCCGAGATTTCCAGAATGCTCGGAGGGAACCGATTCCCCCATAGGGGGTACCGATTCCCCCTATTCAACGGTCGAAATATTTGAATTTTACACTTAGGGAACCGATTCCCTATGAGAGGGTACTGATTCCCCCACGCTCCAAGCATTTTTATTAAATGTTTTCACACTTAAATGGCTATATTATCTTCATTAATTATCACTAACGTTCAGAAGTGATTCAAGGTGTATTTAAGCAAACTTAGAAGCCATTGATCAAAGACAAGAAACATCAAGCAACTAGAATCAAGAGAGAATCAAAGAGAAAGCATCAAACCTCAAGTTCGATAAATTCAAATACTTAATTAACTCAACATAATTGAAATACTTAAATACTTCCAAGTTTGATAAATTCAAATACTTAAAAACTTCCAAGTTCGATAAATTCAAATACTTAAAAACTTCAAGTTCGATAATTGAAACAAAGTTTACGATAATTGAAATAAAGTTTAAAAATAAACTACATTGCCATCTCTTCTTCATCATCTTCGCCTTCTTCGTTTGGAGGGGATATTCCAAGTTCGACTTCTTCAATGTGTAAGTTTGCTTCTAAATCGGCATCAATTGCATCTTCTAGGGTGGTGATATGTTGCTTACGAGCCGCTCCATCCAAATAATCCTTTAAACAAATGCATACTTCCACCGACTCGGGACTTAGTCTTGATCTCCGTTGCGATATAACCCTGCTACTAACAGAAAAAGCGGATTCCGAAGCTACCGTAGAAGCTTGGACGGTTAGTAAATCACGGGCTATGGCGGCTAGAATCGGAAATTGTGCTTCCTTTTCTTTCCACCAAGCCAAAATATCCAAACTTTCAAACTCTTCAAATGTCATTTTTGATAGAAAATCGCATGACATGTAATTTCCCAACTCGCTACTTGGGGTGGTAGTACGTGATCGTTTGGATTGAGAATTTACAAGAGTGTTAAAAAAGATTCAAATTTATGTTACTTGGACGTCTACTAGATGATTCCGCATTCATTCTCATTTGATCGTGTATTATACTACTTGATCTGTATTTAGTTAAATAAATTGCAAACATGTCTCGAAAACATTTGTTAAAATAATTTATTTGGTTTTGAACAAAGTTGGGTTCATCATCGGTTAGATTAAAAGCAAACGCAATTTGTTCAATTAGTGTTTCAACCCCACCAACATTTAACGTTGGGTTTAAAGCGGCGGCACAAGTAAAAATGGGGGGAATCTCCTTAAAATATTTTAAAAGTTTTTCCTTCATTGCAAAGCCAATTTCTTGAAAAATTTCGGTTTCAAATTCAAAGTTATTTAGTCGGGTAGCCAACAAAAATATTTGATTAAGAACCAACGGGCTAGTAGGGTAATAAAACACCGGATAAAAAAGTTGTTGCATTTTTAAAAACCTCAAGCAAATTGGTTATTTTGGCTATAGTTTCCCAACTCGAATCCGGATAAATGTTTGGGACATGACCCCTCTCGAAAAGCCGATCGTGAAATGTTTGCAATGTTTCCCTTTGCCTTAAGGCAGTATGCATCATCATCCAAGTTGAGTTCCAACGAGTTGGACAATCCAAATTAGGACCCAAAGCTTTTTTATTAACGGACTTACAAAATCGTTTATAATCATTTAGTCTTTTGTTGTTGTTACAAAGAACCGATTTTATCATTGTTTTAAATTCTATTCTAATCGGCTCAATAACCTCCAAACCGGCTTGCACGGATAAATTAATTATGTGTGCAACGCAATGGGTATGAAAAAACGCACCGTCTAAAATCGATGAAAGTAATATTTTCAATCTTGGAACCGCGTTTGTATTATTCGATGCATTATCAAAGGATATAGAAAAAAACTTTATTTTCTAATTTATAAAGACAAATTACCCTTTTTAAAAGTGTAAATAAATTAGCACCGGTATGCGGCTCACCGAATAATTCAAACGCGATTGTTCTTTTCATCATTTTCCAATTATCTTGATCTAACCAATGTGACGTAACGGCTAAAAAAGAATTTCCGGTATTATGAGGGGAACTCCAAACGTCACATGTAAGCGACACACCATAACGGTGTTCTTGGAATCCTAAAATCATTTTTTCCCTCGCCGTACGCCACATTTTTATAGCATATCTTCTAAGGGTAGTACGACTTACTTGAGCATAACGTGGTTGCATTAGTTGTTGAATTGTTGTCGTGAAATATTCATCATCAAAGTGGTCGAACGGCAATGCTTTTGTAATCACGAACTTTGTAAACGCTTTTCGTAATTTTTCGTTGTCGTAAACAAAAACACCACATTGCGGTGTAAGATTCGATTGACTAGGATCCGATCTTGAGCGAAGTGCCTTGCATGATTTTGTCAAATGGTTCTTCAACGTTGTGTTTCCTTCCGATGCAAGAAACTTTAGACAAAGTTTACAACGCGCCCTCCTCGAGCCATTTGGCATCTCACATAAATCGTAGTGATCCCAAATATCTTTGTTTCGAGTGTGTTCGATCACTCTCACGACTTCAAGGTTTCCCCCGACGGAAGATTCAGCCGTGTTACTCATGATGAACAAAAAATTACAAAAATAAGATTTGAGAGATGTTTAAGTGTTGTGTAATAAGATTTGAGAAAGTTGTAATCAACCAAATACATCCCCAACCTATTTATATATATGTTTAGGGTGGTAAAATGGTAATTTTTTAAAGAAAAAAACGGTCACAAAACCCCCCAACGGCTAGTTTTTTAAACCCATACCGATTTTTTTTTCCGGATAAAAACCGGTTTTTTAACTGTTTTTTTCAAACCGGTTTTTTATCCGATAAAAAAATCAGTCTAGGTTTTTTTCTCCAAACCGGTTAAAATAACTGGTTTAAAAAAATCCGATCCGGTTAAAAAAAAACCGGTTTTTCCCAAATCCGGTTTCGGATATTTTTTTCGTAAAATCGGATATTCAGATTTTTTGTGCACCCCTAACACCCACCCATGTTCTCCTAGAACTCAGCAGCAAGCATCCATGGCAGTCTCGGCCAACATCTCTACTTTGTCCTCTTCATCAGGACTATAAAATTCCATATCCAAGAGGCCACTAAAGGGGGCTGGAAAGCTGGTGCATTGGTTCTATGTATTTATTTATTAGTTCTGATCAGGGTTTTAAAACACGGTCCGCGACTGCAATTTCAGCCACGATATAGCGGTTTCGCCGCCATCAGAGTTGCCCGACGGCCGCAATCACGATAAATCCGAAATAACCGAAAATGCCACCGAGACCACGATTTAAAACCCTGGTTTGATCCCATGCGTAAGGGGGAGGATGTTGGCCAAAGTCGAAAATAGGAAGAAGAATGGTGGAGAATCATTCACGAAAACCCACCGTTCGGAGCCGAAAGGAAGAATTAAGAACGCTGACGAGAATTCATCACCACGTAGAGACTAGAAATTCTTTTGGAGCTGGAAGGCGTTAAAAGCATTTTCGAATGATAAAAGCCACCAGCTTATCACTGGTGATGATGCATTGGCCCCCAATTGGAATGAGCTTCTTGTTGACAACGTTACGAATCTGGAACCAAAGACGGCATATCGGGTGGCAAAACCATGCGCGACTGTACCTGCACAGAATCAACAGCTTCCTTCTCCATCTGTAGAAAGTCAAAGTGTTGCAAACTCCTCTTCATCAGAAAATAACGCCCCAGCTAAATCACGAATGCGGTGGACACCAGAACTTCATGAAGCCTTTGCTGAAGCTGTCAACCAATTGGGAGGCAGTGAAAAAGCTACTCCAAAGGGCGTGTTAAAGCTTATGAAAGTTGAAGGCTTGACTATTTATCATATTAAAAGTCACTTGCAGATATGGAAAGTTATAAAAGAGAATAAGGATCTGGATCTTCCTGCTCACAAGGTAATGGTGGCCACTGTTCGTTGTGAAGAGATTGCCAATGAGAAGTTATTTCGCTTATCCTCTGATGCGGATTGGTTAGCATTGGAAGAAGCTGTTCAATCTAGGTCAGTATCTGGTTTTGGGAGAAAGCTGAGTACTATCCTAGAAACCCACTTTTCAGAATATGACTCAGAGGCAATCTACTTCGATGAGGGTGTAACAAATGCAAAACGGAAACAGCTGGAGTCAAAAGCTTTGGATGTAAGTTCCGTTTGCTTCTACCACTTTGATGCTTATTTTGTTTCAAAAGCTTGATGGTTTGTCTAGTTAACATTCAGGCTTTTAAATTTAGTTCTAAGATGTCGGTCACCTTCAACAATGACTTTTTTATTGTCTGCTTCAATTTATCTCCATGCATGCAACTGCAGGATTCTACTATAACTAGTGTTCTTTCGAATCATGATGGTCTGATTTCATCAATATCTATGATATTTTGTGGAGGTTATTATATTTTCACTATTATTTTATTATTTTTTACTTGTTTTGTTATTAGTATTATTATTTTCTTTTTTTCTTTTTTTATTTGATATTTCTTTATCATTTTTTTTCAATTTAACATTCTTTTTGCCTTTTCAGTGATAATCTCAATCATTCAAAGTTAAACAATTCGAGTTGAATTTTTTATATTTTCATTTTCATTTTCACAATTAAGACAACCGACAATTTAATTGGTACTGAAAGGGCAATACAAGGGTGTTAATCCTTCATTGACTGTAACCGACTCCCGAACTCGACATATTTCTGGTAAAATGTAGATCAAGTAAGATGGTGCCTGATCCACCTAAATATTTTTAAAATGATCGGTGGCGACTCTAACCATTCCATTCAAGTCGAAGTCCAATTCCGGGCCTAACCGAAAGACGATCGCGACAATAACAAAATCGGGATAAGCAAATTCCCCTCACATGTACAATGCATAAATGTAAATAATAATAATAATAATAAATAAATAAAAAATTCAAAGTCAACATTCGAATATAGTTGTAATCATCTCTAGGTAAGGGTGTTCATTCGTTTAAAACGGTGGCCGACTGAACCGAATTATCATTAACCGAATTAATCAAAAAAAATTTCTTTAACCGTTAACCGAACCAAACTTTTAAAAAAAAATATTAACCGAACTGAATAAATTTCGGTTAATTTTCGAATTAACCGAATTTTTTTAAATTTTCTAATTTATATAAAAAATGAATATTTTTTAATTCAAAAAAATAATTTACAATTAATTTAAATAATATATAATTATAAAATAAAAATTTTATATGGAATTTTCAATTAATTAATATTGATTTAGGTTTAAAAGTTATTGGATCTTAAATTATTAATTGAGTTTTAAATGGTTTGGGCTGAGCCCATATGTTATATATAATATATTTAAAATTTAATTTCAGTTAAGTCGGTTAATTAGTTAATTAACCGATTTCAAACCAAATTAACCGTTAATCAAATTTTAAAAAATTTATTAACCGTTCTTCGAACGAACTAATTCGATTCAGTCGGTTAATTCGGTTAAAATCGAAAAATGAACACCCCTACCTCTAGGCCTTGTAATAATTTTCACAACTGGAGAAGTAGCTAGCACATGATACTTAGTAGGATCACTAATCCAATGTTGACAAAAATGTATATATATATATATATATATATATATATTTATGTCGACAATATATTTTAAAAATTAAGTTAATACAGCTAAAACGAAATAATTGAAAAAATGGTTAAATCGTAACATAAAACAACGAATAGTAAAAGATATTTGCTGTAATCAATTAAAATTTTCAACTTGCAATGTGAATTTGCCGAACAAGTCAAAAAGCTCGAAAAGAGGAAAAGAATTGCAATGTGAACTTGGCGAACAAGTCAAGAAAATGGCCGAAAAGCACCAGGCAAAGTGGAAGACCCAAGATTTATCGTACGAGCCTAGCCCTACCACGCTATCTTGGGGAACAAGAATTGGACTGATTGCCTGACTGGACTGTGCTGGGCTGAATACGGGTCAACACATAAATTCAAAAAATCACGATTACTTTAATTGAATTTTATTTGATTTATAATTGAATATAAATATATAATCTTGAGCTTTTTTATATACAAATTATTAATTATTTTTATTTATTTTAAAGAATATTTTTAAGAAAAAATATCTTAACAATTTATAAAATAATATAAAAAAAACATAAAATGAAATTATCTTATTAAAACAAACTAAAAACATTAACCCAAAGATAATCTAAAAATATAAAGTCAAATTAATCTAAATTAAACTATTAAAGAAAGTAAAATTTGTTTTGGAATCTACGATGTTTATTACGATGGAGGACGGACACTTTTACTCTTATCGCCTATAAATTAGAAAATTATAAACGTATATTATTTAATATAATCACGTTAGATTATTCAATTTTTTTTTATAAAATTTATATAATAGAAAAAATATTTTAAAAAAATTACCAAATCTCACGCTAGAGATGGGTTGGTGGTGCTGGGGAGTTTGGTTTACAAGCACAGATTACTGCCCAATCCCATCGGCTATATATATGTGTGTCCAAGTGGGTTAGGTGATCAGCCTAGGTGAGTGCACATTTTCCTTTGCTAGTGGAAGAAAAAAAAAAATATGGAGACAAAGTCATTGGCATTTGTGGTTTTGCTGGTGGTTGCAATTACAGCCATGTGGGAGGTGGAGATGGCCGCCGCACTCAGTGCAGCTCAGTGCGACCAAGAAAGGAACCTTGCCATCACGGCTTGCAAGCCGGTGGTATACGGCAAGCTTCCGTCCCCCGATTGCTGCCAGCGAGTGAGGGTTACGCACCTGGAATGCGTTTGTCCCGCCATCACTCCACGAATCGCCGCCATTATCGACCTCAACCGCGCCATCCGCCTCATTCAAGGCTGTGGTCGGAGTGTCCCCCGCCACTACAAGTGTGGAAGTATGCTACTGCGTCTCTCTCTCTCTTTTTGCATAAAATAATTACATAATGCTTCATCTGAATTTGCTTTTTCTTTTTGTTTGGTAGGTATTACAACTCCATGAAAATTGGCACTGCTGAATTGGACAATGTTATGTTTTCTACTGCTGTTACTTCATGCTTCGAGGCGGTCTCATCGCCTGCTTTATGAAATAGAAATAATTAAATATATAATTATGGATTTTGAGCCATGTACGACTACTTGCTTTCTGAAACGAAATAATTAAATATATAATCATGCATTTTGAACTATGTACGACTTGTTGCTTTCTGATATGGAAATATATAATATTTCTAATATGTATACTAAGATTTACGGTTACATAATCTTAAATCCAATAACAAACTTTTTTAACCGAGGAATATTCAAACCTAACAATCTATTGAATGATCTCGGTGATAAAAAAAATGTTATTATACTTAGAAAAATTAGTTTTAAAAGATTGTATTTATGGCGTACGCAATACGATGTTAACGATTAAGAAAAATTATGAACCATTGTGATCATCACAAATTATTTACAAGGAATGATCAAGCCTGAAATATTATAAATTTGAATCAATTAAATTTTCTTAGAAAAAAGATATACATGTAATTAACCTTAGTCCCAACATTCAATCAGAAAGATTGTATATATATATATATATATATATATATAGAAAAATGGGGAGGAAAAGCTTGATTTCTCTAATTTCAATTGAGTTTAAATGGTTAAACATCTAGCTTAGTTAGTTGGATAGATGGGTTTGACGCTTCATTAACAACCACTTCCATCTCCATCTCCATCTCCTCTGCTTCAAACGTTGAGTGAACTCCATATAATACATAGAACAAAGTAATCAAACACGCCCATATAGCAAACCTTTGGAACGAGAGCATCTTTAATGTGGTCATGAGGAAGACATTGAGGAAAATGGATATGGCAGCCGGCCAAGGCATGAGTGGCACTGACCACTCACTTGGCTGACCTAGGCAAGGCACTGTGTATTGGAAGAAGGCGATAACGACGATTGTGATCCCGCCAAAAAGAGGCAAACCCCACCATTGCTGCTCGAGTTTCCATGATATCGAGAAGCCTATCGCACATGATGTGATAAGGAAGAGGAATGAGAGTGTTTGGAAAGGCGAATTTTTGCATGTTATCACATATTTCTGGTAGATAAGAGCATTGGCAACCAGGTAGAACACCAACAGTGTGCCGATGGAGATCATTTCAATCACAATGTCCAAGTCAGTGAAGAGTGCAATCGATGCTGTGCAAATCCCTGTATCATGGACACACACATCAATGGTATTCGTTGTACAAAAGGAATTGCACTGAAGAACATGCTTTTTGTTATGCAATCAGCAATGTTTGCCATTGTTAACTTTCTAATGGCGATTGAAAGTGACACTTAAACAACTATCAAGCATTTCACAATTAAAGAAGGCATAATGTTAAAAATATCTCTAACATTTGATTAAATAATTATCTTGATATTTATTCTTTTTGCAGCATTTTGGCCCTAACTATTCATTTAGGGCAAAAAAATCATAATATTTAACTAAACAATCACTTTAGTCCTTATCCTTTCTTTTTGGAGCATTTTAACTCACAATATTTCATTTTAGGATAAAAAATTTCTTATTTTGAAGTGTCAATAGCGTGTTTAATAATTGTTTCTATCCACATGTGTGCCTTTTTGTTTTAAAATAAAACGTTAGAGGCCAAAATGTTTTAAAAGAAATTCAATCAAAATGACTATTTAATCAAACATTAGAGATTTATTTTTTCATTATACCATAAAAGGAATATTTAAAATGAAATTCACATACCTAAAAAGAGAGTGGCATTCAATGGGGTGCCTGTGGAAGGATGAACCTTAGACAACCAGGATGGAACTAGCCTGGCCCTTGCAATAACACACAAGTACCTGGCTTGGCCTAACATGGCGACCAAGAGTGAAGCCACTATCCCCAAGCTTGCTCCTGCCCCTACAACATTCCCCGTCCACTTCCAACCAATACTATTGAAAGCCATTGAGTATGATGCCTTTTCAGCTATCTATACCATCATGATCGTTCCTTAAGAAAAATAACCGTGACATCTATATTCCAATATCAAGTTGCAGATGACTGACCTGATTGTAAGGTATCATAATACACAAAGCCAAGGCCATGAGGCAGTAAAGTCCGGAGACGATGAGAACCGAACCGATGATCCCCACCGGAAGGGTTACCGGAGGGTTCTGAATCTCTTCGGCCAAGGTTGAGACCGAGTCATAGCCTATATAGCTGAAGTAAACTATAGCTGCTCCATCAAGAACGCCTCTAATGCCATTAGGAGTTAGCCCTCTTGGCTTCACCAAGTTATCCACACTTCCATAGCAGAAACTCATGATTATGATGAATCCGAAGAAAATGACATGAAAGATTGTCATGATAAGGTTCAAGATTGAGCTTTCCTTTGTACTGCAAACCAAAACAGAAGGAAACAAGACATCAATCACTTTCAAAGCCCACTAAAAACAAGTGTGACACTATCTTTTTCTTTGTCTACAAAAACAATGAATAAAATAATAATAGTAATAATAAGGGTACAGTAATTGTTTTCTTGATCATAATAAGGTACTGAGAAATTAAACCTGTGGCATAGGCAAATAGTGAGAATAAGAACAAGAGCAACAGCTAAGAAATCCAACTTGTTATAGCCTTCTAGCAATCCATGAACTTCCACTCTCCAGGAATTGGGATCATTTATGCCAAAGGCTGAGCACAAATACTCTGTAAAACTTCTTGCAACGGCGGCGTTTGATAATACATACTCCATTAGTATGTTTGCTCCAGCAAAATACCCCACAAATTCTCCTATGAAAAAGGAATTGGAGAAACTGGTGATTTACTGATATACATATATATTGCTGTATTATTATCATTTGGATCAAGCAATGGAGAAAAAAACATACCAAAAGTCACTCTCAGATAACTAAAGGCGCCACCAGCAACAGGAATCCTGACTGAAAATTCAGTGTAACACAAAGAAGACAGAAGTGCTGATATTCCAGCAATGATATAGGATATGAAGACTGATGGACCGGAGTTATTGCGAGCTACGGGACCGGTGGTGACGAAAACACCAACACCGAGCATTCCACCTACACCAAGAGCTACCAAGTCATACCATCTGAGTTTCCTCTTCATATCAGCACCAGACCTTAACCTTATTCGATTAAGCTCTTGGTCTGGGGTCCATGTTGCTAGCATTCTCTTTCTAAGCCTATGAGGGGTTTGGGAAAGAGATTGGACATATTTGAAGAAGAAAGGCTTGTTGTTGGATTGAATGGTGGCCATGTTTATGAAACAAGTCTTGTGCTTTTGTGGCTTTCTCTGCGAACCTTGAGCCATGAGGTAAGGGTTTAAATATGCATTTAGAAGAGAGAGATTCGTGATTATAATATTTGATATATGACAGATTCTTTTTATCTAAAGTTTGATATGGAGAACAAAAGTGGTGACCCTTAGAGCATTATTGAAAATACCTAGTTGTTCTTTGGGAGCACTAAAATCCTACCCTTTAATCCTTTATACAACCAGCTTTTGATAGACCCAATTCATGTTACAGAAGCATGCAAAGTAAAAATAGAGAAAACAAAAGTCTACCCTTTTTAAATCTAGTTTAAGATTTTATATTAGAGATCTAACTTATAAAATTTTAAGAAGACGAAAATAAATCATCAATTAAAAATACAAAATATCTAAATTATATTAAAACTTAAAAATTTTAAGAGACACTTCTCCAACCATCCCCTTCCAAAACTTTTTTTAAGAGGGACATCGACCTTCTCTTTTGCAATTTCCACATTTGAAACTTTGTTATAAGCAAATAAAGATTGCACCCTTCAGTCTGGCGAATAAGTGGACTTGATTCCTCAATAGAGCATTACAGTTTACTGCGACAGAAACAGTAGTCTGGAGAATAATTGGACTTGATTCCTCAATAGACAATGCAGGGTTTTTTTTTTAATGATTCTGTGCTATCCTTCCTGCAGGGTGTATGGCTTTGACAATTGGCTCTAGAATCAAACCCATCAATTGGACGATGAAATAATTAAATAATATCTGAAGCATCTGGAATATATGTCACTTGCATACCTTCTAGACTTATCAAGATTTGGTTTGATCTTGCTGAATGTACCTTTCTCTTGTTTCCCTTGCTCATGAATTTCGTGTATAGCTCATAGCTCTATAGAGGATATACTTCTTCTTTACCTCCATCTCCATCTCAAAATCAAGCCTGCCCTGGACCACAACCCTAAACTCAATGGACAAAAGCTTTATTTAATAAAGGCTGCATAATTAATGGAAATAGAATGTGACAGTTGACACTTATCCAACAGTCTTCCTTTTCTTTTCTTTTGTATTATTTATAGGAACAAATGTAAAATTTTATATTAGAGAGACGAATTTATAAAATTTTAGTTTTAGGGAGAAACATATTATTAATAAAAAATATAAAAAAATAATAAATTATATGAAAATTTAAAATTTTCAGATGGACGATTGTCCTGTCAACCTCGCTTGGTCCATCCCTACTCCAATAGAATCATTATCAAGTTAAGGGTCACCTATGAGAGTATACAGAACAAAGTTATCTACGGTAACAACAGAAATTATGAATCTTATTTTCTTGACAGTGGTTCTAAAAGCATCCACTGCTAAACAAAAATTCATGTTAAGATCCACGCATGCATATACATGTCATTCTATAAGGAATATTTTTTTTATAATTGTGGAGGCGAATTGAGCCATCAGATTACCCCACTAGGAAGTGTCCGGGGTATTGCCATGATTCAAGAGGTTTATTCAAATACTAATTACGATTAAAAGTGAAATCATGACTCATGAACTGGATAATTGTCTGGTATAAATTAACATGATGAAGAGTCATTGTCAACAAAGACTGTTATACGTAAAGGGAGAGATCATGTAGTTAAATTTACAACAAAGAATGTCCTTTAATCATGTATTGATGAGAATAAAGTGATTATGGTTGTAGACGGTTCATCCTTCTGATTAAGTGGGAAAAGAGAATTGCAATCGGTGGTTAAACAATGATCAACCGATAATATCAGTAATGGAGATTTTTAAAAAGAAAGATGAGAGGGGGAACAAAAAAACGAGGAAGGAAAGGAAGATTTCCTCCTTGGTGTGAGTAGGGGCTTATATATTGATCTTTTAGGTGTGTCGGTATCAGACTTAGGATATGATTGTTGTTCATAGACCGACAGAGTGAATAAATGTGCTCATCAATTAGTAGATTTGGATCTTGCCGGATCTCTTTATTTTGTCAGAAATTTTGCCAAGAGGTAATGACTCATTGGAGGATATAAATAATTCCGCAGGCACAACATTTGATTCTGGAAGATACAAATAGCTCCGAAAGTACAATATAGTTCCTTAATGATATGATGATCAATTTAGAGCATGGTAGACACTTTGTAAAAAAGGCTAAATGAACTTACCAAGTGGAATTCTGGGTTCAAATTTAGCTTTAAACTGAAGCACTTCAACTAAATAGATGGTTGAGATATCAAATATAGGTACTGAGTTTTTAAAAACTATCAAAACAATGGTAAGCATATTCGCAAAACTAAAGATAAGTAAAGCATTAAGGGAGTGGGACTTTAGCTTTTGCAGTGCTTTTCAGAATGATTGGTATTTAAGTTCCACTGAGGAAGGTAGTAGGAAGTTCTTGGATGCTTTTGCTTTTTTTAATTTCTGTTAAGTGGCTCATCTTAAATTTTCCTTTGATCTCCCATTGAGTGTTGTCAAAGCACCTATAATTAAAACATTAGTGTTTTCTAATGCAATTGCAGCCTACATATGGACACATTACACGAGTGAAAAGTGTTTTGTTTTTTATTATCACAAAAGACAATTTGGTAATGAACAAGAAATAGTGAGATAGTCATTTCAAAATAACCAAGTGTCCCTATTCAATGGATGATAATCCTTATGATTTACAATGTGAATTTTTGTTGATATGAAACGTTGAGTTATGAAAGTTGTAGACGGTTCATTCTTTTCTGGTTTGGATAGAGAGTTGTAGTCAATAACTTTGGTGAATTGAAGAAGGCGAAGTACGATGCGTGGATGGAAATCAGAGAGATAGAGAGTTTAGGTTCTCTTATCCGGTCGAACATGATGACTTATATATTTACCTTTAGCATTAGAGTCAAGCTTAAGGTGATAATGGCTATTTCCATGTTAACAGATTAAGTATATCTAGCTATCAAGTAGTAGATTTAACTATGGAGGATCAGGTGGACTATCCAATGGTCATATCAGAGAACTGTTGCCGTCCGGAGGATATTGGATTCAAGAGACTTTTGCAAACAGACTATCAACATTGAAGATACAGTTTGTAGAGGAGGTATAATGCTTTTCAATTATTCTTTAGTGAAACTAGCTTTATGGAATTTAGTAGCTAGGTTATGGCCTATCAATGGCTTCATTGTTTATACTAATCAACTTCAAACCTGCCGATGATCATGTACCTTATTGGCCACAGACATGTTTATGAGGATATGCATCAGAGATTCTTATAGACGGCAAATGTGTTTAGGTTAGAGGAAAATCCATTATAGCAGCCAGTGATCAGTGTGCAGATGAAGCATTTAGACCTTCACGTGACTCATGCTGATATATAATATCAAAGCAGAATGCAAGCAAATTGCAGGGGTAATGATTTTATCTTCATTGCCCCCTCATTCAATATTTTATTAGCAAAAAAGCCAGAATTCAAGGGTGGGAATAAAATACTTGCCATGACTTCAGCCTAATGACAAAGAAAAGAATTGCAGATGATGTTGAGGCCGGTCGAATCAAAATCTAATGGATTTCATCTGAACCACCTGGATGATGTCTCTGGGTTCAGTAGGTTAAGCATATTACATGATAGCCATGAACAGCCAATCCAATTTATGGGATAATTACGTCACTTAGAATCTGTACAGTTTCCTTTTTGGGATAAACTATTATATAGTGGATGCTTTAGACTCAAACAATCAGCAGAAATCAGTATTTTATGTAAACTTTACCTAATGGAAACTCTTTTATGTAATCACCTGCATAGAATACGACATAACAAAACCTACCTTTTTCTGTTTCTTGTTTTCTTTTCCCTCTCAACTATCCTGGTTTCAACTGGATCTAACGAACCAACATACAGATTAAGTGCATCTTGGTCTTTAAACGAATCGAACATTCATTTACAGGAACGTTTGTTCATTTATGTTCGTGAACATTTAATAATTTATTTGTTAATTTATTTTTGTTTGTTTATGTTCGTTCGTTTATATTCTTATCAATTTATAAACCTATTAAAAATATTAAGACCTAATAAATTTTAAACGTTAAACTCATTAATATTTAAAATTCAATTAATTGTAAACCCAAATAAAAAAATACCCAAATCAATTAAAAATATAAACCTTAAAATTATTTGGAGAGAAAAACTCTTCTCAAATATAAACCCAATTAATTTTATGTTCTTTTGTTTACGTTCGTTCATTTGTGTTCATTTTTCATTTTAACGAACGAACATAAAAGAACATAAACAAGCTACATTCCTTAATGAACAAACATGAAAAACAAATTATGTTCGTTTAGTTGCTCGTATCCCTTCATTTCGGTTAAAGTTATAAGAACGAACATGGACATAACCTCGTTCGTGTTTGTTCGGTACATTCACAGACCTAATTGCATCCTTACCACAGGGAGAAGAAAGTATAAAATATTAACTATGGTGTGATGGTAGCAGCATAAATATGCATGTAATGTTGATGGTGAAAACTGTGGTGTGATAGCTTTGAACGATTTATCCCTTTTGGTTTGAATGAGAAATCACGATCGATGATTTCAATTAACGGGAGAAGATGATATATAATGTGGAGAGAGAGAGATCTAGAGAGAAAAAGAGAGTTCAAATCTATTCTCCAATCATACTGACCCTTGGTGTTAGTATCGAATTTAGAAATATTTGTGAGTGCCTGCACATATAAGCACAATCAATAAAAGAAGTCACTAATTAATTGAATGAAATTTTGATTTCTGGATAGAAACCTAACATAGGCATAGACCATTAGTGTTGATGTCAGATTTAGGATTCGTTAACTGACAAGTAAGATAGTTATTTATGTCATATAGTAGATTTGACCAATCGAAAGATATGAAACTTCATAACCTTTAAAGAAATCTGAAAGTTCTGAACAACAAAAGATTCCTCCAAAAACTTTGATAATCGGAGAAGAGATACGAAGGATGTAAACATGTGCAAATATATTCAGACTTAACTCGGTTCACATAGCTACCTTTAAAAGGTGGCATCCAGCAGGCATGGGATCAAAATCCCGGCATTTGCAAACCTTTCCTCTATCTCAAGGCTTCGTTTCCTAGCAAAAAGTAAAAATTACCCAAAAATAAATAAAGTTAAACGTGCATGAAAAAACAAATAAAAGTGAACGAAA